GCGGGACCCTCGTGGCCTCACATCGTCAATATCAATGTTTCCTGGAGGCTGGGTCTGCCAGAAACAGTGGTGGGGGGCATGGAAGGACAATCGGCCAGTGATCACAGGCCCAGAGAGCTGGCTGGGTTTGGGGGCGGGGTGGGGAGCATCACTCCGACCCCGGGCCTCTGAGCCACAGAGGCAGACAGACAGATTGACATCCAGCAAGAGGGAAGATCACCCTGGGCACACGCTGGGTGGTGGGAACGACCCCTTTGGCCAAAAATCCAGAGGTGCAGTATCCCCTTGAACTGCCTTGGCCCCAAGGCCAGTGGCAGCTTCCCCTGACCAAGGGGCTCTTAGTTGCAGGTGTAGGAGGCAGCCCAGGTGTCTCGCGGGTGCAGAGATCGATCACCCCTGGAGGTGGGGATTTGCGACAAGAGAGCAGGCAGGCTGAGGCCAGGGCAGGGGTACGAGTTTCTCAGCTGCCCCCATCAACACACCCCCATCCTGGGTCACAGGCCCACAATGTCACTCTCCGCATTACAGGGGCCAACTCTCCAAGGTGCTGTGACCACCATGACCACGATGACCACGACGATGAAGACAGCTCCTGGCAGAGCCACCTCCTTGCTGTCTATCCTGTGGAGAGCACGCCCATCCTGCCCCAGTGGGGATGGGGGAGGCAAGGTGGGTGCCCTCAGGTCGTGGGCACCTCGATTAAGAGCAGAGGGAGGTTTAGGGGCTCCTTAGAGAGAGAGGGCACCGGATTTGGGGTCAGGGGGTGTGGGCCCCACGTGGCCATTGATGTCAGCCGTCCTGGACTTTTGTTAGTAACAGCATCAACCTGCCAGGATCAAAGGAGATCATGAAAATAGAGTGTTTGAAACATGCCTGCCGGATCCCTGCTGCTGTGGCTTTTATTACTTTGTGTGTCTGGTCTTTTGATCTTTATAAAGTTTCTCCCTGTATGTGACCAGAAAACTGGTGAGCACAGAAGTGTCTAGCCACTCCTTCCTTCCCTGCTTGCAAGGAGGGCTGGAGACCTCAGGGGACTGAGAATGGGAGGAAGGGGGCTGGAGAGAGCTCATAGCTTAAGAAAAAAGTCATATACAAGGAGTCGGGGTTAGGTGCAGGGGTGGGGGGCGGGAAAGCCTGACCAGAGAGCTCGGGAAGGAGTCTGGAGCTGGGCAGAGAGAAATATGGGGAGCAGCAGACGTGGTAAGGGAAGATGGGAAGACAGGTTTCTTTGCTGTGCATTATGAATGCCATTCTTTGGCATTTTCTAGAAAGGTCTCTGGAAAGATGTAAATAACTTTTCAGCCGTTTTAGATGCTAGACTAATGTTTTTGAAATGTGTCAGGACAGTCGCCCCAAAAGGGAGAATATTATCCCCAGAAGTGCAACACAGAAACTCCCCACTGTGCAGGGGCGGACTGTGCAGGGGCCGCCCGCTGTTTTATGAGCCCCGCGGAGGGGGTAGTGGGGGACATAGGATGTTCTCTTCCTAAACGTCGTGCCCCCAAGGTAAGTCCTAAATGTGCCCACCGCTCTCCCTGATGAAACTCTGTTCCCAGCCCCCATCTTCTCTCTGGGATCCTGAAATAGCTTCCGACTCCTTGGTCCTCCTGCCCTGTTCTTCCGTGCAGTCAGGAAGAGTCACGAGAGATGACATCAGTCATGTTGGTCCCTGCTCCTATTCCACCCACACCTGCCACTGTCCACCTTGCTGACTCATTTGTCATCACTGTCCCCTGATGCCGCCACCCCCTCCCCCCGCCCCCCTCCTCTGCCTGCTTATACAACACCCGGCCACTCTGCAGCCCCAGGGCATTGACACTCACTGTTTCCTTAGCCTGGAGTGCCCCATGGAGGCCTGTCATTTCAGGTTTAGCTCAAAAGTCACCTCCTCGAAGTTTTCCTTGGCCACTTAGTCACTCTCTGTCATGTCACCCTGTTTTGTTTTCTTCACACTTCCCATAATCTGGCCTAAAGGATGAATGTCCAGACCTCAGGACAGCGCCGCACCTGCGGTGCCCTGGCTGCTGTTGTTGTCCCAGAAGCTGAGGAAGAATGAGTAGGGCCCCTGCTGGGAGACCATGCAAGCAGGCCCACAGCCATGAAGCAGGTGGCAGGCCCAAGGGAGCAGGCTCCGGCTACGGGAGCTTGGGGACTTCGTGACAGGCTCCAGGGAGACGAAGACACAGCCTGTGGCCTTCCCCAACCAGCCGGGCAGCCACAACCTAGACTGCCGGTCACGTGAGCCCTTCTTGTCTCTGAGGATCTTCACGGTCCAGAGGGCCTCGGCCAGAGCCAGATGGCCCATGTGAGTCATGTCACTCTCTTCAGGGCCACCACAGCCTGGGCGTCTGACGGGTGGCATCACCCACTGGGGGCGCTTACATCCTGCTAGGGACCCCAGGTAGGATGTGGACCCCCAAGGCAGATGCCCCCCCTGGAAAGGGCTTCTGTGTCTTGTAGGGTTCGTAGTGGAGGCTGAAGGTGGGCTCAATGTGGGCAGGAGAGATGCCCAGGCCCAGGCCCAGGCCAAGCCTTGGCCCCGACCACAGCTGCAGCCCATTCCAGCTGTCTGGGGCCCTCCACCCGCTATCACTCCCCTGGTTACCTTGAGATTGGGACCCCAGATACCGTGGCTACTGCCCTCCTCAACACCCACTCTGGGATCCAAAGTCCCCTCCTCCCGCCACCTCCCACTAGCATTTTATTCACTCATTCATTCATTTCCTCACACAACCAACATTTATTGAGTGCCGACTGCACACCAGGCACTGTTCCAGATATACTACAGGGAAGAAATAGACAAGACCTGTCCAAGTGCAGAATTAAAAGAAGGGATTCTGAAGCCAGGCTGTATGGATTCAAATGCTGGCACTGCTACTTTCCAGCTGTGCCAACATGAGCAAGTCACATAACCTCTCTGAGCCTCAATTGCCCTAACTCTAAAATAGGGCTGAGAATATATCTCCCCACGGGGCTGGGTGAGGATTCAATGCCTCGACACACATTGGAAGAGCATTTGGCACACAGCAAACGTACAGTGGGTTTGTAATAATTAGTCTGATGGTAACCACAGATAATGAACTATAAACAAACAAAATACCTGCAGATTATGGTTGGCGCTTTGAAATAAATGAGCAGTGTGCTGCGGATGGGCTCTACGGGGGTGGTCAAGAGGGCCTCTCTGAAGAGGTGGCTTCTGTAGGGCCACGCACAGAAGATGCTTTCCAGGCAAATGGACCAGCAAGTGAGAGTCCTTGAGGCGGAAAATGGCTTGGCAGGTGCCAGGGGCACCAGAAGGCCCCAGGCAGGAGAAGGGTGGGTGAGGAGGGGGACGGCATGGCAGGTCCGAGAGGCCAGCCGGGCCGGTGAGCCCCAGAGAGGAGTCTGGCTTCCATTCTGGTGCAGTGGGCGGCCACACGAGGTTTTTGTTCTGTTTTGTTTTTGTAAGTTCTACTGCAGTGTATCTCACACAGAAAAGTCTACAAGTCATAAGTGTGCAAGATCACAAGTTTTCACAAGGTGAGCACACCCCAGGGGACCAGCACTGAGGTCAAAGCCAGAGTGTGAGCGGCACCCAGAATTCCCCAAAGGCCCCTTCCAGCCGCTGCCCTGTGGTGACCGCCAGCCTGACCGGTAAAAGGTAGAGAGTAGTTGGGCCTCGTCTTTGAACTTTCAATAAATGGAATCATACAATGTGTGTTTTTGTACCTGGCTTCTTTCACTCAACATCGCCAGCGAAATTCATCTACCTTGTTGCACATGGTGGTAGTTTGGTTCCCCCTCTTCGCTGAGTGGTACGTCACCAGCTGACGTACCAAGGCAGTGACTGACAAGGCAGTGACTGACACCCGACTGCTGCCGGCACACGTAGGCCCTGTCTTTGGCGCACGTGGGCACCCTTAAAGCGTTCCCTAAAGCGTTTTTAACCTGAATTTGACAAGATCTCCCTTCACACTCACTCCAGTTCCTGCATCAGCCTGGAGGGTAGATGGTACAGGGTCACTGCTGCCTTGGCACCCGCGCTCCCCACATGAGACCCTCGTCCCTCTTCCCCACCCCAGATCCCCCAAGAAGCCTCCACTAAGCCTGGTTACCGTGCCCACCTCATGAGGCACGTCCCCCACAGGGCCAAGCCCCTCCCAGTGGGAGCCCGCCTCCCCCGCCAGACTGCACCGGAAGGGTGGGACCTGTCACCCTGTTCCCAGATGAAAGATCACCCACACCTGGCACTGTGTCTAGCATCCGGTGGGGGCGTCATAAATATCTCCTGAATGATTCATTCAGCCTTCGGGAGAGAAAGCAGGACCCTCAGTGATTAGGAGCATAAGCTTTGAGATCACACAGATCTGGATTCAAGTCCTGATTCTGACCTTTGGCTCTGTGACCTTGGGAAGGTCATTTCACCTATAAGCCTGTTTCCTCATGTAAAAAATGGAGTGACCACGACCCTACTGGGTGGTTGAGCAGATTCAGTGAGACAGTGTTGGCCCACACTAACAGCCCAATCATGGAGGGAGAGGGTAATTAATGATCCATTCAGGGAGGGGGACACCTCCTGCTGCTCCGCCTGCTTTCTCAGTGGTTCCTGGGAGGTGCGCAGTAACGGTGGTCTTACAGGAAAAGAAACCGAGGCCCAAAGAGGGACCAGGACAACCCGGGTGCGACAGGCTGTGGCTAGACCCCAAGCCTGCTCTCAGTCCAGTGCTCAGCCTGCCTCTCGGAGCCGCTGGTGAGCACATCCGCACCCTGGTCTCCCGACCTGGGATCGAGGGGTTGGCTCGGCTCAAGAAGACCCCCGGGCCTCCGAAGCGCGCTTGGAGATCTTCGGCTCAGACCCCAGAAGCGCACCGCAGCTTCCGGGAGCAGAGAGAGCGCTCGGGGTTGTCACTTTAAATTAAAGAGGGAGCGGGCGGGCGAGCGAGCGCAGGGGAGCGCGCGGCGGGCTCCTGGGAGCGTGCCCGGACTGCGGCGCAGCTCCCCTACGCCACTCCGGCCCGGCCGAGCCCCCGGCCCGCGTCCCGCTCCCGCGCAGAGCGACATTGCAGGGGTGGCGTTGCGGGCGGCCACCGGGCTGGGTGCTGGTGCGTGCGCGCTGCGGGAGGCCAGCCGGGGACCCCGAGCCGGGAGCCAGCATCTACGCCAGAGCAGGAACCGGAGGAGCAGGAACCGGAGCGGGAGCCAGAGCGGCGGCTCCTTTTGGAGCCCGGGTGAGTACGCACCCGGCCGCCCTCCGCGCACGGCGCGAGAACGCACGCACGGCCCCCTCCCCGCGCCACGGACCCCTGGGCTCAGCGCACTCCACGCGTCCGTACACCCGCGCTGTGCTTGCACACGCAAGCCCGGCACAGTGCACGCCGGGCGCCCTTCCCCGGTCCGGCCACTCCGCGCACTGCGCATCGCATCCCCTCGCGTCCCGCACGCCCGCCCCGCGTGTGCACACGCACGGCTCCCCTGTCCATTTACACGCCTCCCTGGCGCCCGCGATGCACGCACGCCCCTCACATTCACAGCACTCCGATTGTCCCCCCACCGCCCCTGCGCCGCTTCACACAGGTCCTCAGTCCGCTTCCCACACTCCCCATCGCATATGCCCTAGGGGTTCCCGTTGCACGGGTGCGCGTCCTCAGGAAATGCCCCAATCCTGAGAGCCATGTCGCGTCCTCGCCAGGAGTCCCGGGAGCCCGGGAAAGGATCCTCAGCTGCCGAATGTCGCCGGCCTGGGGCGGGGGGGGGGCTTTCCAGGTGTCCCTCGGAACCTCCGACGCCGCTGCTCTTTGGGAGAGGGAACTCGCCCGTCTCAGAGCCTCCCTCGGGCTGTACATTTGGGCTGAAGATGGGGTGGGAATGGGGCAGAACATGACAACCTGAAGCCAGTCCTGTGGGTGGAGGAGCCCTGAGCCAGCAAACCTGGCGACCTCCCTGCCAGGGGCTGCAGGGGCACTTAAGACGGACCCTCTTCGGTCACTGAGGCCATCCCCTCCCCAAAGTGCCTGGGAAACCTGCGCCCTGGAACGTCAGTCTCTTCCGCCAGCCAGGGCATGACAGGTTTGGAAAGAGAGCAGCTGTTGTGCTTCCTATTTGAAATGGGGAAACTGAGGCCCACACCAGGCTGCTCTCCACCTCACATACCTCAGCTGGTCTGGAGAAGGGTCAAGGCAAGGACCCAAGCCCCCACCTCGCCCAAGCAGCTTGGGAGGGTGGGCCTCCCAGCCAGGGCTCCAGGCTTGGACTCTGCTCCTTGTCAGCTCTGGTAACTGTGGGCAGGTCATCTCCTGCACCTCGGCTTTCTTACACATACGATGGACAAAGTAGCAGCCCCCTCAGAGGGCGGCAGGGAGGATTTTGCTGAAATAACACTTGGCAAGTCCTAGCGGTGCCCAATAAATGCCAGCCGGTCTGTGCTGTGGTTTCTGTGGGCTTTGCCAGGATGGGTAGTAGGATGCGGTTATCTCAGAAAGTGGGAGCACCTGAAAAGCATTTCAAACCTCAAGATCCTGAAGAGTTTTGCAGCCTGGGAGGTCAAGGTCTGCCCTGTCCCCACCCCAGTCTTTCCCATTACCTGCTGGCTTCAGGGTGAGGACAGGGGGAGCAAACATCTGGTTGGCCAGAGATGTGATTGGAGACATGATGATGAGCAAGGCAATGGGGTGGGAGGAGCAGAGACTTGGGGCCCCAAGCCCCTGCAGAGGCACAGAATTCCTGGGAAGTCATTTCTCTGACCAGCCCAGGAGGGGCCTTCACTGTGGTCAGATTCTGCAAGGCCAGTGGACATTCCTCCCACCCATCTCTGCCCCTGAAAAGCCTCCTCAGGAGGTGGCGTGGTGGCCAAGCGCCCAGGCTCCGACCCATCGCACCTTGGCGCTGCTCCCAGCGTTGCTGCGCACATGCCATGTGAGCAGGGGTCCCCGCTTCCTCGCCTTTCACATTCGGATCCATTTCTCTGTCCAATCATCAGGTAATATTGTGGGCCTACTGTGGGCCAGGCATAGTGCTCAGCATTTAGCGTCTGTCATGCCTAATTCCTATAGTATTAGATGGGTATTGCCAGCCAGGTATGATTAAACCTGGATTTGAAACTGGTGCTGTTTTGTTTTTAGTGAGCGTGCTCCATGCAGGCTAGGGTTTGGCGCTTTGGGGCCAGACTGAATAGATTGGGTGAGGGAGGGTGCCAGGAAGGAGACATGGGTCTGAGGACCTCAGATGGCTCTCTCCTCACCCCTGTTGCGCCCCATCCCCTGTGTGTCAGAAGCTGGGGGAAAGTCTGGTCACAAGCCACCCTGGCCTTGAATGTGCCTTGTCAGCATCCCGCTCTGAGCCAAAGCCGCAGCCCCTCTGCCTGGCAGATCTCCAGGCTGCTTACAGGAGCTGGCTGGAGTTGTCCTAGTAGTCTGTGAAACAGAGTTTGGGGGTCTCGGGGACAGTGATTAGCACCATTTAGAAGGGTGTTTGAGACAGAGCCAGATCCGGCTAGCCCTGGCTCTGTTCTCTGCTTACTGGCTGCGTGACCGTGGGCTAGCAAATTAACTGCTTTTCTCTGAGCCTCACTTTCCTTCTCTGTGGAGTGGGGATAATAGGATGTGCCCCATAGCAGTCTTGGGGAGGGTCAAGTCCTTGGCACAGGGGCTGTGGCTACCAATAGAAGAGGCACTCACCCGGCAGCAGGCAGGGCTGCCAGGCCCAGCACCATCGCTGCAGACCATGTGGCTTTGGGCAACTCGCTCATTCTTTCTGAACCTCCCCTAGCTCATCTGAAGGCCTGCTTACCAGGCTCATGGATGGAGATGCTTCCAGGGGCCATGGAGTTCTAGCAGTGAATGGAGGGGTGCGAGGTCCAGGCCACGGAGCAAGCGCTCTGTCTGAAGGGGTGGAGCCTACTCAGCTCCAGCTTAGGTTGTTTCCAGCGCCAGGGCAGATGCAGTGCCGCTGTCTGCACATCTTCTCACTTTCAAAGGGAAGCTGGAAATTCATCCTTTTTTTTTTTTTTTAAAGAAATCCATTTTTAATGGGAAATTTACCAATTTTTAAATGTTGGCAACTCACTTTAATTTAAGACACGTAGGACAGATCTACAGAGCAGCTGTGCCGCCCACATGATTCTGCAGCTCCAGTCAGGGGCAAGGGGGCCTTTTGGACAAATTGCCAGGCTGAGACCACCGCAGCTAATGTTTACGAAGCCCGGCCATATTTACCTCCCATTCCGCTCTCCTGGCACCCTGAGGGGGCAGTCAGGAGCCCCCTTTCACAGAGGGACAACCGAGGCTCAAAGCTAGCGAGGGGCAGATCTCTCCTCCCTCCTCTCAGGCAGATGTGCCTTCAGAGAGCACCACTGTGGGGACTTCTGCCCTGCATGAGCCCGCAGCCATTAACACCTTCCCTGAAGTCACAGCTCCCAGGCAGAGGGGGTAGGGGGTGATAAAGGGAGGGAGAAGAATAGCGGGCAGTGTGGGAGTCTGGGGTCTGAGCTGGATCAGCCTTGGAGGGGCGGGGACCCCTGGACAGCCAGAGGTCCCACCAGCAGATCCTGTCCCTGGGCGCGTATACATGCCACGGGAGCATCCTCAGCCCACGCTGCTGGCAGGGGCCGTGCCAGCGCGGCCCCACTCACAAAGTCGGCCTGTGCTAGGTGAGCGGGAGAGAGGGCCGCTGGCATTATCGGATGCCCAGCAGGGCAGAGGCAAGCTGGGACCCGAGTACTCACAGTAACCTGTGTGTTTCGGAATGTCCAAACTCCCTCCTGCCAGGAAGTAAGGCCGCCTGGCACGTGGAGCTTTATTTGTCCTGCGCCTTCTCAGGAGGCTTTTGAAGTCATGTGCTCGCCTACAAGTTGGGCACGGGGCAGGAGTGTGGAGCCAGACGGCCTGTGTTGAGCAGTTTCTGAGCCATGTGGCCTGGGGCGGATGATGTTACCGTCATGCCTCAGGACTGTCCTCTGCAAACCAGAGACAATAATAGTACTGACCTGTGGGGTTGCCAGAGGACTAAAGGAGGAAATATACATGCCCAGTGCTTAGGGCTGCGCTTGGGTGGGTAAGGAGTGCCTGGCAGGGTCAGCTCTCATCATCATCATCTCCAGCCCAGGTCCCAGGAATGAGCTTCCACTTGGAAAGCATGCTGCCCTCCCGTCACCATGACAACCAGCATCTCAGGGAGTGGGGGCATCAGCAGGGGGGGCCGGGGCAAGGAGCGGGCTGTGTACCTGGCAGGGCTTCTCCCGGGGCCCTGCTCTGCCCTGTCCCCAGAGGCCTCCTGCCCGGGCGCTGGGTAGCCCTGTCTGGGAACAAGCCATCTCAGCTGCTTGGCTCCGAATCCACAGACTGCAGACAACCCCAGGGTCCTGGAAGTTGCCGAGGAAAATGTTCACTCTCTGGACCCCAGTCCCAAAGGGAGCCCACGGAATGCTTCAGGGAGTTGCCAGCAGGCTACCCACGGCCAAGCCGTTTTTTTATTTACGTGGTGCCTGAATAGTGTCTACATTTTTCTGTGAGTTGGTACAACATTGAAAAATTCCGAACTGCACATGGGCTTTTCTTAAAAAAATGTCCTTCAGGCTTTTCTTTAAGGAGCCAGAAGGACCAGCAGTGCCAGGTCGGCATTCTCGGGAACAGAAAAGCACTGCCCTTGAGCTGGCAGGCCGCCTCCCCCCACCCCCGTCCCACCCCCCCATGCCCATGCACCTTTATCACTCCTCACCTGTCTCTGACTACCTCTCTGAGCTATGTGGGAACACACAGTTTGGGGGGAGGGTATCCTGTCCTTCCTTGTCCCTTGAACTGAGACCCATTCCAGCTCATCCCCGCCTCCCCTTCTCACACCCGCCCCCGTTTAGAATATGTCTGTCAGCCAAGTTTACTTCTTAGCAACAGCAATAATAAAACTTCGAGCAGTCCCAGGGTTCAGGAAGTATGGGCTTCCAGACCTGGGAGGGTGGAGAGCGGGGTGCAGAGTGAAAGGGGAGAGAACAGAATATGGCAGAAGTTGGCCTTTGCCTTTCAAATGGAAACAAAAGCTTTTGGAGTGTAGTCATGTGTCACTTAATGATGGGAAATTCATCATTAGGCAGTTTCCTCCTCGGTGTCTGAACAGGACAAACCTTGATTGTCTAGCCCACCGCACACCTAGGCCATGTGGTCTGGCCTATTGCTTCTTGACCATGAACCTGTACTTCATGTCACTGGGCTGAACACGGTAGCCAATTATAATGCATTGTACTATGATGTCATGACAGCTATGAAGTCACTAGGTGATGGGAATTTTCAGCTCCATTATAAACTTTTGGGACCACTGTCATACAAAGGGTCTGTGGCCCTGCCCAGTGAGCCCCCCAGGGGGCCTGCCCTGAAAAGTCACCAAGAGTCAGTGCCGGTCAGCCCGGTGTTGGTGGGACCAAAGCGAGGGAGGGGTGCCCGAGTGCACAAATACAGATACAGGGTGCCCGGCAACTTTCACATTTCAAATAAGCAACAAATACATTTTTAGTGTAAGTATACTCCAACATTTGGACATATTTATACTAAAAACGAATCTAAAATTCAAATGTCACTGGGCGTCCTGAGTGATACCTGGCAACCCTGAGGTGAAGTCTTTGAGGGCATGAAGAAAGCTTTAGACACCATTCTCTTAAAATGCTACTTTGAAAACCACGCCCTTTGGAGCAGCCGGGAGTGAGCTCCGGAGGACAGGCGCCTGGGTGCCAGAGGGCCGGGGCACAGGCTGGGGCTGGGGGCCCTGGCAAGCCCTCCCCTCCAACTCACTATCCCCTTCTAGTTGCAGCCGTCGCAGTGGACACCATGGCCGTGGACGTGGCAGAGCGCCGCCTGAGCGGTGAGTCTCGGCAGCAAGCATGCCAGCTTGCAAGGCCCTCCCAGCAGGCCTGGGGTGCGGGTATCAGTGGGACACCAGTCATGGTTCTGCTTTGCTGGCAAGGATGGTCAGTGACTTGCCCAAGGTCACATAGCGTCGGAGTCACAGGCCTGGAACCAGTTCGAAATCTCTTCATCTCTCTGCTCCCATTGCTTCTTCTGTGGAAGTGACTCCGTCCGTGTGACTTGAGGGGATCCCCCAGATTGCCCGTGTCCCGCTGCTCCCTAAAAAATCAGCCTGTGATATGGAGTCCACTCACCGGGGCCATTCCTGGGGCCTCTCAAGTAGCCAACTGAAAGGAAATCCCGGAAAGTTGATATTAGGTCCACAGGGCATGAAAGTCAGACGGAGCCCAGACCAGGGACGGCCGATGCCTGGGACGCAGCTCCCGCCTGCCCTGTGTGACCCGGCCGGTGCCGAGCTGCTGAATGGTGTCGCATGACATCAGACGCACACCTCACAATCTTTTCTCCTTGTGTTTCTGTCCCCATTTACAGATGGAACAAGGGAGGCTCAGTGAAGGAAAGGGACAGTGAGTACAGGTTCAGGACGTGAACCCAGGTCCCCTGGCTGTTGGTCTGGCTCCCACCATAGCACAGCCCCCACCCAGCCCAGGGCTGAGCCAAGGGGTGCCCCAGGGACCACCCTTCCCAACCCCAGCCAGGGATTCTCACCTGCAGCCTCCCAAATCTAGGCCTAAGCCCTGGCACAGCCTTGAGCAAGTGTTGAAACCTTTCTGAGCCTTGATTTACCTATCTGTGAAATGGGGCAGTGAGGCCTGGCTCGGGAACTGCTGGGAAGACTCAGTGAGCTAACCTATGCAAAGCTCCCGACACAGAGAAGCACAGCTCCCCCATCCCCAGGCCTTTGCGCCCGATGTCCCCTTTGCCGAGGGCGTCCCTGCCGCTCCCCGGCTAGGTCCTCGGCCCTGCCATGAGGTTACAAGCACAGATCTGGAGCAAGATTGGCAGCGAATATCTGCTTCGTCCCTCACTTCCTCATCTGTAAAAGAGGGATAATAATAGGTCCTTCCTCCCACGGTTGTTCTGAGAACTCAGTGGGTTCATACACGTGAAGTGCTTGGGACAGAACCTGGCGAATAGTAAAGAGAAGGAACCTGTTATGACTCCGACTCCTCCTCTTCCCCCTCATCCCTGGCCTCAGCCTAGACCTCACTTCCCTGGAGGATTCTTCCCATACTGTCCTACGGCTGGTAGTCTAGAAATGAAAAAGTAAATGAGTATCAACTGTCGGCATTTCAGGCCACCTTCCCGAGGCTTTTCCTTTCACGCCCTCGGCCCTACGCCCCCTTTTTTGTCCAGCGGGGCTCTGGCGTGAGACCCTCACTTTCCTGGGACCCTCACTGTCAAAGGAGTCTAGCTGTGCTTTCCGCCTTGTGCCCGCCGCCTGTGCTGGCCCACTTGCTGCGACACCCAGGCCCTGCCAAGCAGGTCTCAGCAGGAGCCCCTCACTCTCACCCCTCAATCTCCAGTGAAGCAGGTGCGTTCCTGGCCCATCCCCCAAGCACCAGACTTTCCGGCCGGCCTCCCCAGGGCCGGCCCCGGGGCCCTCTGGAGTTCTGTGCTGTGGTTTTATTTAGACCACAAATTGCATTCCAGCCATCGGAGTCAGCAGTAAACAGGGTTGCACCCAGTCCCTGCATCCTAATTTCTTGCCCTTCTCCCTCCTCCCTGGTGCTCCCAGCCCTTGTTCATTGGCTGTGTGATTTTTACATCAAACCGTGTGGTCGTAACATGTCAGGAACTGATTGTTTTTCTCTAAACATTGCCTGAAATGTTTCTCTGCACTGCCATGGTGACATCCTAGTGACCTCAACAGTCATTCTCAAAGGTTTGTGACATTCCCTCCTCAGACAGCACCAGGGCCCGGCTCAGACCTCCAGGCTGTTTCCAGATTTCTGTTGTTACAGGAGCCCAGCCTGGGGGGCTCAGAGCAGACAGTCCCTCAGAATAACTTCGCCAGGTAGAACTGCTGGGTGGGGGTGTTTCTTGGTCATCTCCTTTTTCCGGATGAGGAGGCTGAGCCCAGGGAGGCTCGGTGGGCTGAACTTCTCACCCCTGTGGCCTTGAGTCCATAGATAGATGTGTTCATCCCCTCTCCCAGCCTCAGTGCCCCCTAGAAAGTGGAGGGGGGCACCTCACAGGGTCCGACGGCTGGATAAGCGCCAGGAGTGCATTAGCCGGCAGGGCCCAGACCAGCCAGAGCAGAGCTGGGCTCCGGGCGGGCGGAGGCCTCCCGCTGCCAGAGGGCCCACAGCTGCTGTGCGGCTCCTCCAGATGTGCCGGCTTCAGGGAGCAGAGGCGAGGTGCCCTCCTGCCCCGGTGGCCCACTCCCGCTCTCCCGCTGGGCACTCCGAGTGCTCTAGGCTTTGTACACCCCTCTCCTTCCGTCCCTAAACCCCAGTCCCTGGTGCCTTGGCCGGGCACACTTCTTGCTCCCCATCCCTATCTCAGCTTCTGTGTCCCTCCGGGAAGGGACATCCTCCTCCAGGTCCAGGAAGGCCTCCTGGGCTCTTCCCATCACTCTGTTTTGTCTCTTTGCCCACCCCACCCCCTTGACTTGGAGCTGGGCCCAGAGCCGACTCCCTCCACAAGGTGCTCACACACAGTAGGTGCTTGGTGGATGTTCCGTGATAAAATCCACCCCTGAAACACCCTCTCCACCTGTCTTTGCTCTGCCACCAGGGAACTGCACTGGGTAGAGACCCGGTGGGGCAGTGGTTAGCTCTGCTTGCTCTGGAGTCTGGCTGTCTGAGTTGGAATCCCAGTCCCACCCGTCCCCGGCACTGTGACCTTGGGCAAGTTCTTTGTGTGCCTCGGTTCCTCCGCCACTTAAATTGAGCACAGAGGCAGCACGAAGAATGGTTAAGAGAACTGTATTTGGTAGCAGTGTCACCTTCTGCAAAATGAATCCCACGACCTCGCTGGCTGCTTGTGGGGGCCGCAAAGTCAGGCTTGCTTTGAAAGTGTGTGGTGACGCTTGGCCGTGGGCGAGGCAGGGACTCACCCGGCAGGGCTAAGGAGGCAGTTCATGGCGGTGTTTGGGGTCAGTAAGACTCAGGTAAGGAGAGTTATTTACTTACCAGTGGGGCGAACGGCGTTGGAACATCCGGGTTTCCCCAAGCCCTACACAGCCTGCAGCCATCTCTCCCTGCCGGCTGAGATGGGGCTTTTTTTGGCGGGGAGAGGGGATGGTAACGCCTTGATTGAGATAAAATTCACATACCGTGAATGTACTCACTTAAAGTGTATAATTCATTGGGCGTTAGTATTGTACAGCCATCAGCACAATCAATTTTTGTAGTATATTCATCATCCCCAAGATAAACCCCATATTCCACATTGCTCCCCACTCGCCGCCTGCCCAGCCACAGACAGTCACTAATCTACTTTCTGTCTGCGCAGATTTGCCTCTTTTGGACATGTCAATGGAATCATACAACATGTGGTCTTTTGTGTCCGGCTTCCTTCACTTAGCAAGATGTTTTCGAGGTTTATCCATGTTGTAATACGTATCAGTACTTCACTCCTTTTTATTGCTGAATAATATTCCACTGTATGGATATGCTACATTTTATTTATCCACTCAGCAATTGCAGGACACTGGGTTGTTCTAGACGAGGTTTGAGGGGGGAAATGGGATCCTTTTTTGTCCCCCAAGTCCCGTTCCCCTTTCTCCAGACCCCAAAAGGCCGCTTTGATTATCTGACAGCAAAAGGTCCTCTGAAGGGTGAGGTCCAAGAACTCAAAGAGGCAAGAACAACCCTATTTGTTTAAAGCCGAATGAATATTTAACCATCGCTCACAGCTCTTCATCTGTTCTCGTCCAGAGCCAATCATGGGAGAAATGTCTGTTTTTGTGGGAAAGAAAATAAAGCAGAAATCACGGGGAGTGTTTTCCTGTGCAACCCTGGACCCCCAGTGCCTAGCACCCAGCCTGCCAAATAGAAGGCACTCAGTAAACATTCATTCAATGATCAGTCAGTCAGTGCCAAAGCACCTGCTCCGTGGGTGGGGGGCTGTACCCACTGAAGGGCCCGGGGCCCTCTAATGAGAGGCTGCTTTTGCCTTGCAGTCATCAAGAGCCCCCCTGACTGGGAGGTGGGTGTCTACGCTGCGGGGGCCCTGGCGCTGCTGGGAATCGCAGCTGTGAGCCTGTGGAAGCTCTGGACCTCGGGGAGCTTCCCCAGCCCCTCCCCCTTCCCCAACTACGACTACAGGTACCTTCAGCAGAAATACGGTGAGAGCTACGCAGAGGCCAAGCAGAAGGTGAGGCTTCCGAGCTCGTGGGTGTACACGGAGGTGGGGGCCCCACGCCCCTGCCGTCCACTCACAGGATGAACCTCTATTCCCTCCCCACCTCACTCCCTCCTGGTTGGCTTCCTCCGGTGAACCAGGGCCCTGGTCCTCCTTCCTGTCTCCAACCCAGCCCAGTGCGCACTTGTGGAATGAGTCCATGAGCACTTGAATGAGAGAATGAATGAATGGTTTCCATGTTGAAGACCAACCTGTAAGAAATATGGGAAAATGTCAATAAGAAGAAAAGCTTCTCTAAAAATGCCTCCACCTAGAGGCAAGCAATAGTTAACCGTTTTTTACCTATTAACATTTTGATTTTCTGCTGTCTACTATTTTTAATCTCTTCCCTAGTCTTCTTTCCATGCATGGTTTTCACACAGCAGGGTTCATTTCTACCCGGAGTTTTATACCTCGCTCTTTTCACCCCACTTACAGCCGGAGCATTTTCCTACATTGATGAACACTCACTATCAATATCACGTTAATAGCTAAGACTACTTTTTATGTACCTGCTGTGATTTCCTAAATGCCATTACAAATGATGCCGTAAGAGTTTCACAGGTGGAACTTTTTCTTCCCTGGGATTCTGTACTTTGAATAGATGGATTACCATCCGGGCGTACAGACATTTTTAGGGCTCTCAGTATCTATTGCCCAGCGTTCCATCATTTGACACTGGGCTGGGAACCTTTCTAACCTGACGCAGAGTCCCAGAGTGCACAGCCCGAATCTGCTACCAGATGCAGGTCCCACATGCTCTCTCATCTGGGGTTTCAGAGGGGACTGCCTCTCCCTCTGTGGGGGGACTGTAAATCGGCACCACTTTTCCAAAGAGCATTTTGGCAACTAGTGTCCAATGCGTTCAAAAGGACTGTGCTCTCTAAGTCAGGATTTTAAGACAGCTACTCAATGCTGCATTATTTCTATGGGGGGGGGGGAAAGAAGCAATAGTCGGGGAATTATAAACTGAATGATAGTTTTGCACTCAGTGGGAAATTGGGGAGGCAATTAAAAACGACGGTAAAGAAGACTATGCAGCGACCCAGGAGATGCGGGTGGTGCAGAGGCTTCTGTTTGCTCGGATCTTAAGGTCAGTTTAGACAAAAGAAAAGCTGACTGTGCAGGAGAGTGTTACCCAACATGAAAGTTTTTTCATGTTGCGGGCATGTTTGGAAACCTCCTTGGAGGCTGCTTGATCATTTATTGAGTAGTTCTATGCTAGTATTCTTACCCATTCCCCTTATGCTGGACACCTACATTGCTGACTACCTTTCCTTTTTATAAACATCACTGCCATGAGCATCTCTAGGCATGGAATTCAGTCCATACAAATAACCATTTTGAGAAAATGTTCTCTTACATCCTGGTTAGAGAGAGAAAACTGAGTGACACTGAATAACATTGAACCAGGATGTTCTGAGCTAAGACATGCCTCATTTTTGCGAAAGGGAAACTCGGAGGTGCCCTGAATGAGCAGGGATTACTGTATCTCTGTTGTCTCTGCACCGTTGCCCTCAAGATGCTCCGATGTCCCCTTTTCTCACCTCAGAGGGTGCCTGCCTGGAATGGCCAGCGGGGCAGCACTCGGGGACCACCCAGTCGCAAAGGCAGTTTCAGCATGGAGGACACCTTTGAGAGCATCAGCGAGCTGGGGCCCCTGGAGCTGATGGGCCGTGAGCTGGACCTGGCCCCCTATGGGACCCTCCGGAAGTCCCAGTCAGCCGATTCCCTCAACTCCATCTCCTCCGTGAGCAACAACTTTGGACAGGACTTCACGCTGGGCCAGGTGGAGGTGAGCATGGACTACGACGCCACCTCCCACACCCTCCACGTGGCCGTGCTGCAGGGGAAGGACCTCCTGGAGCGGGAGGAAGCCAGCTTCGAGTCCTGCTTCATGCGCGTCAGCCTGCTGCCGGACGAGCAGATCGTGGGCATTTCCCGGGTAAGTGGGGGTTGCAGGGCGGGGCAGAGGTGTGTTCTGGCTCTCAGGAGTCTCCCCAGCCGGGAAGGTCGGCAGCACCAGGCAGGATCTGAGGAGAGTGCTGGGGAGCGGGTCTGGGTGCTGGTTCCAGAGCCCAAGGTGCTGAGTAGACAGAGAACAGAACTGGAGTTGGGGACCTCCACCTCTGGGCGTCCATGCTGCACGATTCTTAGCTCTCCTGCCACACGAATCCAGTGTGTGGCACCTGTCCATTTCCACACTTGTCCCCTGTGTCAACTCGGGGCCCTGGCAGGGAAGGGATGACACATTCACATTGGCTAACTTGGGGACAGCTTAATAACAGGACTGCTAACAATGATGTGAGCAGTGTGTAGGGCACTGCAAGGAGGGCGTGGCACCCTGGTCTGAAAGGATGAGGGGCAGGGGAGGTCACCAGGCCCAAGATGAGGGGGTGTGTAGAGAAGGCCACCTTGATAGACACCGTGCCCTTTGAACACGGGGCGCAGTCAGCCCACAGCGATACCGCACAGGATCTGGGGGGAATAAGTGCCCCAGCCTCCCTCCGACCTCTGGTGTCCCTCCAGTGACCCTCGCTGGCTGGCCCTCCCGGAAGCCAGAGGCCAAGGGAGCCTGTTGATGTAGCCCACGGAAGTCAGAGGTCGGCTCCTGGGTCGGAAAGCAGGATGGGGGTAAACCAGGAGGGGCAAGGAGAAGGACCCAGCACCCCGCTCCCAGGGTCCCTCCACCATGCCAGAGGGAGCAAAGCCTACACGGGACACAACCCCCTGCCCAGCTCCAGCAGCCGGCAGCTCCAGGCTGGATGCGGGGGTCCAATGCCATGGCCGGGTGTCCTCCGAGGTGCGTGGGGCCAACACACCACGGCTTCTGACCAGGGCAGGAGGAGCCTGAGGACTGGCAGGACCCAGTGCCTCCGACTTCTCGCAGACCCACCTGCGTCTGGTCCCCTTTACCTGGCCGAGAACAGGCTGTTCCTCAGTGGTGGAGACCGTCATCCCTCTCCTGCCCCACCCTACCCTCCTCATTCTAGAAGGGTCTAGAACTGACCACCGGCCATGTGCACGTGGCGCCCAAGATGGGGCGGCCAGCTTCTGAGAGGCAGTTCACTGAGGGGTTAGGAGCAGGCCCCTGGAGACTGACTACCCGCGTTCAAATCCCGGTTCCCTATTTTCTAGCAGCGTGACCTTGGATATATCACTGAAGTTGTCTGTGATTCAGTTTCCACCCCCCCCCCATCACATGGGCATCGTAATTCTTGAAGAGGGGACGTGTTAATAAGTGCAAACCCCTTAGCCCAGTCTTTGGCAAGCACTCAGCAGGTCGTGTACCTGGCCCACGTGTGTTCCCGCTGAGCCCGATCCGTGCTGCCTATGGCCAGGGCTGCCTGGAGGACCCGGAGTGGTTCTAGACACGTCCCTGGAAGACAGTGGCAGACAGCAGCCACCACAGCCTGCTGGTGCCGAGAACCCGGTTCTCAGGGCCCAGCACATCCATGATTCTCTCATTACCCTAATGACGTGGACTGAGAGCACCTTATGGATGAGGAAACTGAGGCTCAGAAAAGTGCTCGGCCCAAGACAACCCCAGCAAGTGAGCAGCAGACCTGGCACTTGGTCCTGGGATTCCCACCCCTCCACCCGTGTGCTCATAAAGCACAACACACAGAGAATGGGTGGTCGGGGAGCGTGGGCCCCTATGGGCAGGGGCAGCCAAGAGGCTAGCTTGGCGGAAGGAAGGAGAGGGGCAACCGAAGATCATGAAGAGCCTGAATGCCAAGGTCAGGATGGAGAGGTGGGCTTTCTCCCATGGGGCAAGGAGCCCCCGATTCTCCAGGCAGGCGCTGGGGTGGGGAACGGGGCTCCCAGGGAGCAGTGCGAGAGGACCCCGCCCAGAGCCCAGGCAGTCACCCAAGAGTGTGGCTCAGGGAACCTGGAGGTGCTGGATTTCTTCCCAAGAAGGCAGGCTTCTTACATCACAGCCCAGCCGATTGCAGCGAGTGGGTAGCTGCCCCCAGGCTGGGCAGCACCCCCAGCTTCAGGCGAGGTGCCAGGAATGAGAGCTCCTCTCTTTAAATGTCACCAGGCAGTGACTAAGGCAGCCCCCCCAGCCCCGCACCGGAAGGGGAGCCATGCCCGCAAGTGCTCCTTCCCAGGGGCCTGCCCACGGCTTCCTGGGAGGAGGCCAGTGGCACCCACCAGGCAGGACTGGGCTTGGGAATGGAGTCCGTGCAGCCTTCCCTCGTCATTCCATCTGTCTGTCCATCCCACAGTGTTCAGACCGCCCTGGGCCAGGCTCTGTGGGGGCTGGGACATCAACGGCTCACGACCTCACAGACAATTATCTATACCCACTGCACGCCTGGCCCAGGCCTGGACTTGAACGTGTACAAGAAAGGCAGAGACCAGCTCAACTAGTGCGTCGTGAGGGTCCTGTGGAGCTGGGGCCACTAAGGGTGGGACTTAGTTGGGATTGGATTATGGAAGCTTCGAGTGCCAGGCCACTGGACTGGCCCTTGGTGAGGGGAGAACAGAGGGGCTTTTAAATAATCAGGGCTGAGCCACCAAAAGAAGGGTTGGCATTGGGTCATGGGGACAGTCCTGGGACAGGACTCTGGCCCAGTCCCAGACTCTCCGTCCAGGGCTCTGCCTGCCACCCCGCCCCCAGCTTTGAAGCGCCCTCTACGCCCTTTCTCCCTGCAGATCCAGAAGACCGCCTACTCTATCTTCTTCGATGAGAAGTTCTCCATCCCCCTGGACCCCGCAGCCCTGGAGGAGAAGAGCCTGCGGTTTTCTGTTTTCGGCATTGATGAGGACGAGCGGAATGTCAGCACGGGGGTGGTGGAGCTGAAGCTTTCTGTACTTGACCTTCCACTGCAGCCCTTCAGTGGCTGGCTCTATTTACAGGACCAGAACAAGGTAAGCCCGCCCACCTGTCCACCCTTGAAGAGAGTATCTCTCTCTCTCTCTCTCTCTCTCTCTCTCACACACACACACACACACACACACACATACACACACTTCGGAGGAGGGACTCCATGGTCCGCCGCAGCAACTTGAGCGCCGACACCTGTAGGAAATTAGAGAGACCAGAGCCGCACTCAGGGAGACTTAGTTTTCTGCGTGCAGATGAACGACACCACGGCCACTGTCCACCGCTCGTGCCTCCGAGCTCCTCCAGAGCTTCTGTTAGGGCAACTTCTGGCCCCGAAGGGAGTGGTTTCAGACGGAGGCCCAGCCAGTTTACCTTTACACGTGTTGAGAGTGCTTGGGGAGTGTTACTGCCATTTAAGCAAATGGTCTACTAACCCAGGCCACTTGGACTTCCATGTGCTGCTGCCACAGAGTGCTTTCCTTGGCTTAGAACGAGGCAATGTAACTGCACTTGGATGCTGCATTTGACAGGCAGCCTCTGGCCCTCCTTTCGAGGCAGGACCCGCACTGGGGGAGGACAGGCTTGTGCATGCTTCACGGAGTGGGGATGGGGACCCCTTTCTCAATCCCACTAGCCTGGAGCCCTGGTGTGAGGGGCCTCAAGAAAAGCAACTTCTCAGTGGAGAAGGCAGCTCTGGCTTCCCCTGGACCTGTGAGGGGATAGAAGCCCTCTGAGCCACCCGCCTGTCCCCCAGGCTGCCGACGCTGTAGGGGAGATCCTGCTCTCCCTCAGCTACCTCCCCACGGCCGAGCGCCTCACCGTGGTCGTGGTGAAGGCCAAGAATCTGATCTGGACCAACGACAAGAGCACCGCGGGTAAGGCCTGGCTGGCTGCCTGGCCCCTCCTCCGAGGGGCTGGCATAGGGCTGTGGCCCAAGTGCAAAGCCCGAGGCACTTGGACACATCGGTAGGGGCGGGGCTCCCCAGCTCTGGCTGAGCTCAGGAGACATGGCCAGTGGGAGGATTAATCTAGCTGGGAGACATGGGAACCAGAGAGGGAGGCAGGAAGCCCCTGCAGGGGAAGGGGTGGGAATCTGAGACTGGAAAGTCTGGGGTTCTGGGAAGGACCCAAGGTGAACACCCACTTCCCAGAACTGGAATTCTCGGTGGAGGCTTCGTTCCTAGAGGCTGGACTGCATCCCAGATCCCAAACAGGGACAAGGGCCACCAGGACAGTGTGGGTACAAAGCAGGGCCCAATGCCCCAGGTCTGCAGGAGCCTCCAGCCCCCCAGTAACTGGAGATAGAGGATGGGGAGAGCCCAATCCCCTGGAGCCTGGGGGGACCTGGGGTCCAGGCAGGCGCAGCAAGGACGCCCAGTGGGCGGTAGGTGAGGAGCAGACAGAGACGTGCTATTTCAGAGCCACACGTCATTGAGTCAAACCCTGCTGAGTGGGCGCCGGCTGACTCAGAGCTGACGTCTGCGTGCGGGCCATTTATAGAATGAAAAGTGGTGGGTCTCCCGAGTTCCCCGAGAGTCGTGTGAGGGGACCACATGCCTGAGCTAGGAGGCAGGCTGTCTTCCAAAGCCCAGCTGTCTTCCTGACTTGCGTGTGAGCCTCAGTTTTCTCATCCATCAAATAGGAAAGAAATAAAGGACCAATGGTGGGACTGCAGGAGATCAAGGCAATAGTGAAGGTTTTGGGGGGAGGCGGTTAGAGCCAGTGCACCTCCGGGTTGGGCAGGCTGGGCCAAGTGAGTATGGCAGTGGTCCTCACCTCCACCCCCTCGCCCACCCAGACCCCTACGTCAAGGTGTACCTGCTGCAGGATGGGAGGAAGATGAGCAAAAAGAAGACAGCCGTGAAGAGGGACGACCCCAACCCGGTGTTCAATGAAGCCATGATCTTCTCAGTGCCAGCCATTGTGCTCCAGGTGAGGCGGACAGGGTGCAGGGGTGGGGGCCGGGCCAGGTCAGCCCCCGGCTCCAGGGCCAATTCATCCCCTGCAGCCTAGCTTCTCAGGGCTCCTGCAGGGGCTGATAGTTTGCCTCAAGCCAAATAGTCAAGAAGCATTTATTAAGTACCCACTAGATACCAGCCCACGGACGGTGCTGGGGACACAGGCACTGCTTCCGCGGTGTGACGGGGACAGGCAGGAAGGTGCCCGGCAATCCTAATCAACAGAGAGCATGCCAGACCTGGGCGGTCAGGGAGGCTTCCACAGCAGGGCTTTGCTACGCTGAACTCTGGGGGAAGCCAGTCTCGGGTGGGGAGTGGCAGAGACCTGGAGATGAGCCCAGGTACCGAGATCCACCCTAAATCTCCTGAGGTTCTACCTGCAGAGCTCCCCTCACCCCCGTGGCCTTCGGAAGGTACCCCCCCCCAGCACAGCTATCACACACCAAGGATGAGGGGACTGCTGAGGATAGGGCCTGGGCCCCACCAGCTGTCCTTCTTGCATGCCTCCAAAGATGAGGAACTCACCACCTTCCCTCACTACCACCTTCCATCCTGGGGCACTCCTGGCAATAAGAAAGTCCTTCTGTGCTTTGAGCCAAAAGCTGCCTCTCAGCCCTGGGGCTGTGCAGAAGCCCACTTAATCTCCCCTGCAGGATGCCCTGTCTCAAATTCAAAGCCCAGATTCTGCCTCAGTCTGAATGCTCCTAATCCAGGCCGACATCCCAGCACCTCTGGTTGGTCCTGGGCATCACTCACGCCTTGCCCTGCCACCCTCCTGGGACCAGCTGCCCACCTGTCCCCTGCTGCTCCCGGGGATAATCATGGGGCCACTATGCCACAGCCTCCAAGAGCCAGACACTTTTCGGGGCCGGGAGAAGGAGGGGGTTGGGAAGAGGAGAGAGGTCAGGCCGGGCCCTGGTTTCAGCTTTACTACTTTGATCTCAAGCAAGTCCTTTCCTTTCCTCAGTTGCATCCAACCTACATTTTATTAGGAGAAATGGCAAACGTTATAACGCTCTGTGTACATTTTTGTTTCCAGAACAGGCAGGAACTACTATTATCACCATTGTACAGGTGGGGAAACTGAGGTGGGATGAGCACAAGTCACTGTCCAAGGTCATGAAGCAAGGAAGTGGTGAGGCTGGCATTTGAACCTGGGCCACCTGGCGCTGCCTCTGTGTAGGGAGGCAGCAAACAGAGCCTGTGGGGTTAGGAGATCAGAGGTGAGGCCTGAGGGAGCCGCACCCGGTACCTGTCCGGGCCTGGCATTTATGGACTAGGGCCCAGAAGCCATGAGGACCTCTGGCACTGCCCCTGGTCCCCAGCACCCATATCGCTTCTTCCCTAGGACCTGTCTCTCCGCGTGACAGTGGCTGAGAGCAGCAGCGATGGCCGTGGGGACAACGTGGGCCATGTCATCATCGGGCCATCAGCTAGTGGCATGGGCACCACACACTGGAACCAGATGTTGGCCACACTGCGCAGGCCTGTGTCCATGTGGCACCCTGTCCGACGAAACTAGGAGCCAGGACGAGGCCAGGGTGGGCACTGGAGCTGCCCGGAGCCTGGCTCAAGCTCAGGTGTGACACCCTTCTCTGTTGTCCAGCTGAAGCCATGAACACCGGGGCCCCCAGTGGACTCCCCATGAGCCGTCTCGGTCCCGCTACCTAGACTGCAGAGCAGGAGCGGGCCTGGCTGGCTGGCTAGGGATCCAGGGTTTCTCCCACTGAGGAACGGCTGTAGCTGGGCACTGGCTCGTTGTTCTCCCATTTTGAGATCCCCAGTGGGTCTGCCCCTCAGCCTAGAGGGACCTTGGCCTCTCAGAGCTCCCCACACCCAACCCCAACTGGGAGGCCAGCGCCGAGCGGAGCCACATGCTGGAACAGAGCAAGTCTTGGGAGCCGGGTGCCATGCTGGGCACCAGCAGGTGTGACATGAACAAGACACAGACCTACAGGACGCTGGGAAAGCAAGATCACCTGTCCTGGTGATCTACTTGGTGCTGAATGGTGGCCCTGCCAGGCAGACTTGGGGAGGGCTCTGGGGGCTGGAGGGTGGGATGGGAGTTGTGGTGTGAGGGGTGGGGGAGGCGCTGAGAGCATTCTAGGCAGGCAGTCCCACCTGAGCGTGGCAGGGGCAGGGGGTGTCCCCGTCCACAGTCCTCAGCCCCCTGGGGTGGGCCCAAGGGCCTCTCCCTGGGCTGAGGAGGAGACTGAGAGACGGAGCAAGCGGAGGCCCGCAGGCCACGTGGGACGCTGACTCTGGAGTCACTCTCTGAAATCCACTCACTTGAACCATCGCCCTCGTCCAGGCCCGGAGGTCGGCAGGCCCAGCCGAGGCCCTTGTGTTCAGTCCCATGCGCCTGGGCACTGGCTCCACGGTGGCTTTGCCGGGGTCCTTTCAGGCCAGGCTCTGCTGGGAAGAGATGAGAGCTGCCTCAGCCTGTGGGGGACGGCGGGCGGCGGGGCAGCCAGAACACAGACTGCAAGGGTCTGTGGGAGAGGCCCCATTGGCCACAGGCCCCCGAAAGGACGCAGTGGAGCAGGAGACCGTTGGGCTGGGCTTTGGAGGGAGGGGCGGCCTGCGTGGTGGCAGTGAGGGACCGTCAAGGGGGTCAGAATGGAATATGAGTCTGGGACACCAAGTGTCCTAGGGCAGGTTCCAAAAGCAGACCCTGAGGTGAGGCATCAAGGGTGAGGGGTCGGGCAGGGCAGAGCCCCCCAGGGGACCCCTGAAAGAGCAAGAGGGGAGCCACGTGCAGAGAGCAAGTTGTGGCTTCAAGAGAGCCCATCGTCAGCCTGGTGGCTTGGGGAAGCTCCGAGTGTGAACAGCACCCTGGGGGACCCTGCCCAGAAGCAAAGGGGCTCGGCTGTTACCCCGACATGCATCATCTTTGGCTACCGTCCCACCCTCAGCGGGAGGAAGGGTCCCTGGCCGAGGCAGCTCCCATTCACCAAGAGCAGCCCCCCCAAAAGCAGGCAGCTATACACCCTGCGCAGCTGAGGGGCGGGTGTCCATGCTCGTTCGAAAGGATGGGGGCACTATCTACCCTACTGGCCGCCTACAGGCTGTCACGTGGGATCTCAGGCTGGCTGCTTCTGGCCCCGGTGAGCCATGGACACCCAGGCCCACTCCTTATCCCCAGTGACGTGGCAGGAGGGGTGGCTGGAACAGGGTGAGAGGCCCGGGGCAGCACTGGGACTAGAAGCAGGACTGTGCCTCTCCCCACCTGATGCAGCTGTGGCCCAGCCCCCCAGGAGGTCTGCATGGCCCAGGAACACACAGCTGGAGCAGCCCTGCAGCCTGGGAGACCCCAGACCCTTCCTACCCCAGGGGCTCTGCAGTGCCAGCCCTGACCCCCACCCCTTCCCCCCACCCTGCCCCTTCCCTCTAACTGCATGAAATGTTGACTGTGCACTGGGATGGGAGTGGTGGGGACTGGATATGCTGAGCGGAATGATTCTAGCACCAAAATAAAACTGGGGCAGGAAGGAGGGGGCTTCTGCAAGCCCTGCTCAGCCTGAATCGCCTTCGGCTCTTCTTTAGGGAGCAGGGACCCAGGCCTCTGCCCGGGTCACTGTGAGCGCCCCTCCCCCGCTGCTGGGTGCCCAGGGGTGGGGAGGCCCCAGTCTGCCTGGGGAGACCATGACCAGGACCAATGCCATCAGGCTGCTTGGGAAGCTGGAGGAGGGGCCCTGAGCCAGGCCCGTGGGCAGGGTGGCAGCAGGAGGTGTCAGGAAGGGCTCCTGGTGGTGCTGCTGGCCTGAGCCTTCAAGACAAGAAGAGGCATGAGGCTAAAAAGGGTGGACAAGGCCCAAAAGCATTCCTGGCAGAGGGAACAGCATGTAGAAAAGGGCAGGAGAGGGCAAAACCGTGGCCAATTTACCGACCTTGAGAGAGCAGAGTTGGGGGAGGGTGGGGGAGAAAAGAGCCAGAGGACAGGCTTGACAGGGAGAAGGGCCGCACGAGTCAGTGGGTGCTGGTGCCCGGCCTGCAAGTCTGCAACACCGAGAGGCAGGCACTGTGTCACCTCCTGTTGGCAACTGTGGAAACTGAAGCTCAGAGAGGTTAGGTAACTGGCCCATGATCACACAGCCTCAATGCCTTAGAGCTGGGATTCAGGCTCAGGCCGTCTGACTCCAGGGCTCTCTCTCTCTCAACCATTAGGCAACACTGCCCCTCCTCCAGCTCCTCAAGAGTGGGGCTGAGGGGCAGCAGAAAAGCCCCTGTTGACCCCAGGCTGCTCTGGTTTTGCCCTGCCCTCCCTTCCCCAGACCTGCCCTGAAACATCACAGCAAGCGAGGGAGGATACGGATCTGGGTGCGCATTCCCAACATCCCCCAGAAGGCCCACCCACCACCACGCCTGACTGTGAAGAGCTTCTGTGGAACCCACCCCCAACACAGGGGAGACAGAGGTGACCAATGAGGCCGGCTTGCGGCTGGAGCCCGTGAAGGTTGACACCGGGGCAGGCTTCCCAGAGGAGATGGAAACATGAGCCCTGGCTCTGCAGGGCAGGCAGGCTGAACCCACGGAGGAGGGAGAGGGGCCTCCAGGCCCGGAACTGCTCGTGCACGCGTGTTGCACGTGCCTGGGGAGCGGGGACTGGGTGTGTCCGGGCTGAATCCGAAGGTCCTTGTCCTGCTGGCTGTGGGGAGCCACAGAGGAGTCCTGGGCAGGAGCAGGTCAGAAGGAGGGAGGCAGGGAGGGGAACACTCTGGGCTAGTGAGGGGCAGGCCTGCCCCCTTTAGGTTTTAAGTTCATTCAACAGGGCCCAAACCCAGCTGCTCCCACCTCTTCCTGCCCCTTCCTTCCTTCCCCCACCTGTCCCCTCCTCCACCCCCAGGGAGCCTTCGGGGATAGGCTGAGCCCCACTCGGGGGGCCGTATGTGTGGAGGTTGCTGGCGTGCCCCACAGTGGCGTCCATTCCAGGCCTGCACGTGGGAGGAGCAGGGCCAGACTGTCTGTTGCCACAGTGGTCAGCAGCTCCAAACCTCCCTTCCTCTGTCCTGCCTGTGGTTGTCTGTGACTGCAAACACCGGAAGGGTCAGCTAAATAAATGCTAAGACTAGGCCGGAGGGCTCCCTCGCTCTCCGCTCACTCCTACCCCGTAATCAACCTCCTCGGCCCCCGACCCAGAAGGATCAATAACAGTGAGGCAGGGAGAGGAGGCGTGGGCAGAGGGCTGTGTCCCCAGTCAAATGGCCGCTGGGGTCAACTTGGGCTTGGGGAGCCCGGCAGACAAAAACTTGAGAGAAGAGGCCCCTCTGGGTCCTGCCCACCACAGACCTGGGTCTGCTGCTGACCTGCTGTGTGACAAGTCCCTTCCCCTCGAGGGCCTCGGTTGCCCCATCTGACTTTTGGGGATTCTGTGTGGAGAGGCTCTAGAGCCCCATCACCTGGGTTAGAACCCCAACGCCCCCACTTATCAGCTGTGGGATCTTTGGGCCTCAGTTTCCTTGGTTGCCAAAGAGTACAAGAATTATACACACTTCATAGGGTGGAATGAAATGACACGTGCCAGGGGTCGGGCCCACAGTAGGCACTCAGTAAATGTGAGGTCAAGGCTTTGGGTGGAGTTCCAGCTCTTGGGATTTGGTGTTTGGGATGAAAGGAAAAGTGGGTACACAGGGAGCCGTCCCCAGCCAAGGTATTCCAAGGGCAGGACTAAACTCTGAAGTTCCACATCCCTGGCACCCACTTTCCCCGCCCAACACCCTGCACCCCAATCCAGGAACCCCAAGCAGAGCAGGCCCGGCTGGGTCAGGATGGTGCAGGGCGAACAGCCGCCACACAGGGGCAGCAGAGACTTCGCTGGAACAGCGGCGGCCTCCAGACCTCTCTGGAAGGATGCGGCTGAGGTGTCAGGAAATGGGGCAGAGGGGCCAAGGCAGACGGACCTCCGCACAGATGGAAGCTGGAGGGTGGTCACCTGTCTGCTGACCCAGAGCTCAGGTCACGTGCTGAATTCACTCACCCATGCAGCCACCCGTTCCTTTATTCATGTCTTTACTCTGATCATTGAGTCATCCCACCTTTCTCCCTCCCTCTTTCCTCCTTCCCTCTCTCCCCTGCTCCCTCATGTTCCTTCCCTTCACATTTGTCCTGCCAGGCAGTCAATCGGCCATAACATCCTGAGCCACAGAAGGGCCGGCCTGGCCACCTCTGCTGTTCCAGGGGCTTTGGGGCTGTGACCCACTCTGCGGGGTTTCCAAAGGACTCTGGGTTTGGGACCACTGGGGCCTCAAGGGGCTGAGTCATCCACAGGCTGGCAGTAGACTGCAGCCACAGACAACAGTGTAACAGTAAACAGTCCCCTGGCCAGACAGACTGACCTGGGGAGTGGGGAGACAGACGCCTCCTCACTCCCAGATAAACTCCAGGAAAACAGTGCTTGTCCAGAGCCCGGCAGTTTCCGAGATGTGGGGAAATTCCTTGCCAACCAGGGCAGATTCCCGGGCCCTGACCTCCCTCTCACTGAGTGGGGGTGAGGCTGGGGTTTAACATCAGCAGGTCTGAGTGCTGAAGGAGCTCAGGCATGTGCACTGCGGTGTCGGGAGAGAGCCCGGCTTCTGTGGCCAGACCCTCATTCAGATTAGGGTTTCTCCTCTTACTAGCTGTGGATCTTAGACAAGAATTTAACCTCTCTGGGCCTCAAGGCTTCTCATCTGTGAAATGGTGCTAACAGTCCCCACCTGCCTGGGGCGGCACCTGCACAGGGTTAGTGATACATTAATGGGCGCTGTGATGATGAGGAAAGGTTCCGTGAAACTGTCAAGCATGACACACGTCGAAGATGTCATTAAAGTGATTATCCCTATAGCAACCACAGCCAAATTCCTCTACCTGACTCTCAACTCCCTCCACCCGCAGTCTGGCCCCACCTGCCTCCCAGCCTTGCCACCCAAAGCCCGATGACAGCAGCAGTGGGTGGGACAGGGGGTGACCAGGCTGACAGCTGATTGCTGGGGGTGGGCCCCTCCCCGCCACTCCTTAGGGCAGGGAGGAGAACCCTGCTGGGTGGCTACACACCCA